TAACGCTACATAATCATGTTTTTGGTCCAGTCTGGATGGTGATTCTACACGTTTAAAACAGATGATGTAACATTAAACATGACCCCCAAAGCAGGGTAGAAGCATTTAAACCATGCTGTCTATGGCCCTCGTTCCGTTGAACCATGAACACAAAGAAAAACATAAAATAATACAGCAACTACTGATTTGCATTGGCTGAGAAGAAACACATCCATAACCGGTGGCAGAAAAACTCTCGGTAAGATCCAAGAATAGTTTCTGACTTTCCACAGAAAAGTTTCCGATGTGAAAATACCAGAAGCATTTAGCATCAACTGTGTTTGTATTATTTCTCCATTTATGCTCATTAAAATTTGTTTTTAATTATTGTAATGAGTCATCATTTAGCTGCCCAGGGAGTGCAGGTGAAAATTAGCATTTATGCTACGACCTGGCGCCCAGCACCTGTCCTTCCTTGTCTTGGTCAATGTCTTGTTGTTGTTACTTAATTGGTTTATTGGCCACAAAGTGGCAAACCAAAGGTCTGCATTGCAGGCTTATTTCAGTTTTAAGGTGTTGCCATAGTAAGAACATTGCATGATACCCTCATAACGCCAGTCTTGTGGTAAAAGACCCAAATAGTTCACAAATAAAGCCACATGGACCCACCGCTGCTGATCCCAAAACAGAACGAGCTTTCTTCAGACGGATCAGTTTGTTACAAAACTATTTATTGTTTCAACTTTTGATTTTGATATCCGTTCACTTGGGGGTTTCCCACATGGTGTTTTTATTATTGTGCGGTGTGCAAAAGTGATGGACTGAAGCATTTAGTGTAGTTTTGTTGTTTGTATGAAACAAATAGTGACTTTCAAAGTCACTACACTGAGGAATTGTTTGTAAAAATACTTGCATTCACCAGGCTACTGAGGTCTACAGGATGGAGGCTGGGTGAGACAGAGTAACGTATGTTTTTTCTTTGAGTGTGTGTGTGTGTGTGTGTGTGTGTGTGTGTGTGTGTGTGTGTGTGTGTGTGTGTCTTTCTCATCTCAGACCAGTCTCTGAGACTTCATTCAAGCTCTCTACTCCCTATCAGTCCTTTCTGATCTGCAGGGGGAAGTGAAGTTTACGATAGTGGCTCTGAATGATACAGCCTGCGCACAACTCAGGAAGGGCTGACGCTGATGACCTCAATGGCCGCTGTCCATTGAGAACACACACACACACACACACACACACACACACACACACACACACACACACACACACACACACACACACACACAGCTGTAGTGAATGTCACACTAAGAAACATGTAATCATCTGATTTTTTTTCTTCCTGCTGAAAGTTTTAATCTCTCCAGCTGGTGGAAAAATGTTCCAAGTGCTGTGAGCATTTCTGCTTGCAGTTTGCAGGAACTTTTATAAACACAGTCTGGTGAAATAAAGGATTTGGGGTAAAAGGATGGCTAGAGGTCTTTTCCATTGGAGGGGGGAAGCTTTTTAAAGGATTGTCTTCTGTGTGTACGAAAAAAAAACATCATGTAGTGTAACAGCTATAAAGTTACAATGTCAACATAGTAAATTACTACTTAAAGTTGGAGTTGCACATAAAAACACCACTCAAGCACTATTTCATCCAAGTGTTTTAATGTTACTGTGATCCCTGTACTGTGTTTTGCTGTGAACTCTAGGGATTGGGACTAGCTGTGAATGACACGTTGAAAGTAAGAGGTTTTATTTGTTTGCTTTCTGTGTTGACGTCTTGTTTTACCTTCACGAGTCCAAAGAATACGAGAGCTATAGAATAGAAATGGCCCAGCTTTTCTGTCACCTCTAAGATGTTACTGTTTGAGACACTCAAGCTCCAGCTGGGGTCACTGGAGGAGGCCCAGATCAGTTTAATATGTAGTTGTGGGTTTGCATTTAATACAAAAATACAAAATCATTCATGAAAGTGTGTTAACTGTATAGCGAAAACAGTTTGCAGTGTTACAGAATTCCAAACGATCATCATGTTTTTCATGTACGTCACACTTAAACTGGCAGAGTTTAGTTTCCTGGTGCTAGGGGGCAGTACGAACATTTCGGGGTAGTTTTACACCGTATCACTGTGACTGTCGCTAGTTTAAGAAACATTACAGTAACTGTTGTTACCCGTGGAGCAGAAAGCATATGACTCCGACATGACTCCTCAGACTTTGACGGACCTTCGATTCCATCGCGAGAATGCTGATTGTAGTTTTCTGGTCCTGTACTTTCTGGATCTGCTCGAGGTCCTGCTCCTGCCAATTACATCATTGTACTACGGCAACACAGCTCAGCCAAAATATATTGTATCTCTTTTTGGATTTTGTTTTTTCACATGTGTTTTGGAAAGGGTTTAGCAGTTTTATTATTAAATTCATGTTTCTTAGTCCCTAAATTTTTTAAAACACGGTAACGTTAACTTCCGGTAGTCGTACATCCATCCAATCATCTAGTGTGACATCATCGACCGGCGCAGGACCCCGAGCTGACCAGAAGGAAACATGATGTCTAATATCGCGACCCCGAAAGTTGCTACATTGCATGGGTAAATGGTGCAAAGCCGCCAATATTTTTCAACAACTTGGTATCGTTATATTAATTTCAACAAAATTTCGTAGGAAATTTCCAGAGATTAACGGTGAAACTATATTGTTTCTTCAAATGTCTCAGATTTGTCAACAAATAACCTGAGGATCTACAAAAGATGGTAGTTTTCAAAAGAAAACATGACATTTAGGTTGACTGGTCTGTCCAAATTGTCCCTAGGTGTGAGTGTGTGTGTGCATGATTGTTTGTCCTGTGTCTCTGTGTTGCCCTGCGATGGACTGGCTCTCTATCCAGGGTGTACCCCACCTGATTTCCCGTTGACCACTGGATATAGGCACCAGCCCCCCCGCGACCCTGCGTGGACAAGCGGGTTCAGAAAATGGATGGATGGATGGATGGATTTGATGAAGCTATCTAAACCAATGAGCCCTATGTGAGAAAGCGACATGGAAAACCCTTGATGGCATCAACTGGTAGTGGGTCTCTGCCATCACTGTGGAGAAATTTTGTTCCACCCTTCTTTGCAGAATTGTTTCAATTCATCCTCATTGCAGAGTTTTCCATCACGGAAATCCTGGTTGGAGACGGTCCCCTTCAAGACCGCCTGATAGAGAGCAGATTTCATGGTTCCATCAATACAGGAAGTCTTCTAAGTCTTGCAGCAAAGCAGGCCCACACCATCACACTACCACCACCATGTTTGATTGTTGTTACGTTTTATTCTGAAATGCAGAGTTAGATTTACACCAGAAGTAGCAGGACACACAAATTTTAGGAAGTTCAACTTTGATCTCATCAGTCAATAGAAACATTTCCCCTACTCTTTTGGGGATCATCCTGAAGTTTTCATTTTTGGCAAAAATGAAACTGTGTTTATTTTCATTAGCAGATGTTTTTGAGATCTCCAGTTAATACCTACAGTGGTTACAGAAAGTATTCATACCCCCGTCAGTTTTTCACTCTTTCTTATATTGCATCCATATATATAGACAGGTGTGTGGCTTTCCTAATTAAATCCAGCTAGTATAATCAAACATGGCTGGACTCCAATGAAGGTGTAAGACCATCTGAAGGATAATCAGAGGAAGTGGAAAGCACCTGAGTTAAATATGTGTGTCTCAACAAAGGGTCTGAATACTTAGGACCATGTGTTGTTTCAGTTTTCTTTTTAATTACTGCAGAAATTTCTACAATTCTGTGTTTTCTGTGAATGTGAGGTGCTGTGTGTACAATAATGATTTTTTTTAATTGATTTTAGTAAATTTCTGCAATATAACAAAAAGTGAAAACTAACGGGGGTCTGAATACTTTCCATATGTATCTACCCTGTTCCCACTTCACCCCTTTGTATTGCTGAATCACAAACCCTGATCTAAACTCTCGGAAACCTGCAGCTCCATCTACTTAATGTTGTCAGACAGGTTCTGTTGAGGCCATTTCTTTATTCTCCGGGTCTGGCAGTAATCAGGCCTGGGTGTGGCTGTTGAAACGGACCTCAGATTTTCAAATAATGCAGTTAATCACAGTATGCACAGATTTACCAAGATGATGATTACTTTTTCTCAGGTTGGTCTGCATAGCTTTTTCCCTTAAAATTAGGAAAACAAATTAGCTTAACATTTTTTCATTCCTCTTAAAAACATTTTAACATAGTATAGCTAAAAATATATTGTGGAGATAAAAAATAAAAAAATAAAAAATAATTGGATCTATTGCATTTGTCTAAAAACCTCAGCCAATAACACGTTTCAAAGCAACTATTGGACCATCCAGTTGTCAGTCTCGGCGAACGGCTGCACTTCCACACATCCCTGGGTCCTCCACTCATAACGCACTTGTGTATTTAGCAACAGAACACCACTGGTGTGAGAGGTTTGTGACTCAATGTTATGAGAGAAGGAGAAACAAAAGACGTTTGGACCTAGAAAAGGGGGACTGAAGGTTAGCTCTATCTCGTTTCCTCACACAGGTGATTCAAACGCTGAATCTAGTGTGCTGGAGCAGGAAAATCACTAAAACATGCTGAATATCAGTCCTCCAGGCATGGATTTGAATACCCCTGGTTTAATTACATGAGAATAATCAGGGAAGCAGGTGGGTAAGATAACGGGGCATAAGGGTAAGGTAACAGAGCAGGTGAGTCCAATCAACAAGGGGAGAGGAGACACAAGAGGCTGCAGGAGCAGATCCGGATGGATACACAGGACCAGTGAATTAGAGGTCTAATTATTTAATTAAAAAATTAATCAGTGACCTATAATGTAGATTAAGTAGTCTAACTGAATATAGTTTTCTTTATATTCTGGTCTTCTTCACAAACTTCTCCCTTCAGCCTGTTGCTGAAAAACAAGAGTTCAGTGTGTCAGTTTGGACAGAGTGAGCACCTTCATCACATTAGTGGTACAACGGAAGCAGTGTGATCCCGCCCCTAGCTAGGGAGAGAGCTGGCTCATGGACCGTAGCAGAGCCCATCTCAGTTGCCTGTTGGAGTAGCCCACCCCTCTCTGCAGTATGCATGTTCGCCAGGGGATCCGCGACGCGCTCACGTCCCAGCAGCACAGCACTTCACCGGTCAGAGGCCATCTGCTCAGGAGTCAGCGATAACCCAGTTGGATGTGGCAGGCGAAGCGGAGGCGGAAAGCGCGGTGACCGCAGGAACAGACAGTTACTACAGCCTGCCTCTCTCCTCTGAACGTGGACAATCATGCATGTGCTCTTCTGGGGCTTGGGCTTCCTGCTGTTCCCTGATTTCTTGAGTGTTGTCTCGTCCACGGGGAGATTGCTTTGGAGTTCAAGCACAGGTAAAGTGTGCCGCTTTTTTTCTTCCTCCAGTAGGATCTTTTTCTCACCCGGAGGCAGAGAATGAATGAGATCCCAGCTCCGCCAAGCGCACGAGTGGAAGCCTCTCTCTCTCTCTCTCTCTCTCTCTCTCTCTCTCTCTCTCTCTCTCTCTCTCTCTCTCTCTCTCTCTCTCTCTCTCTCTCTCTCTCTCTCTCTCTCTCTCTCTCTCTCTCTCTCTCTCTCTCTCTCTCTCTCAACATCGTCTGACACATCTGGACACTTTCACTTATTCACTGTATTATTTCTACAGAGAAAGGGAAATTTGGAGCATATGAGATTGTAACACCAGTGCGGGTGAATGAATCCGGTGACAAGTTTCCAACTACTGCGCACTTCAAAAGGAAAAGGAGAAGTTTGGACGGGGGAACCGGTGGCACCGCGGATCCCTGGGACTCGGCGAATATCCACTATAGGATATCTGTGTTTGGAAAAAACTTTCACCTCAACCTCACGCTGGATTCGGGATTTATTGCGCCCATGTACACCGTGACGGTATTTGGAGCGGCCCAAGGAGATAACAGAACGGATTTTGCAGTAAATGCAGAAGGAGGAGAGGAGGAAGATACGGAGTTAAGGCACTGCTTCTATAGAGGACATGTGAACGCACAGGCGCAACACGCCGCGGTCATCAGCTTGTGCTCCGGACTGGTGAGTCTTTACGCACGGTCAGAGGTGACAGTGCGCAGGATGGAATCACACCTGGCTGGGTACTTTATTGTGTTTGCTAGAAGTGTTTATGAGCTACTGTATTCAATACCGAAAACACACACTTTAATGTTGCTGAAACAAACTATTTTAAACTCAGCGCGTTTCGCTTTTTAAAATATTTGAACCAACAATCTTCGTTTATCCAGAAACGTTCATTTAAAGCAAACAAACATTTTAGACTCGTTTAAATAAAAGCTGCATGTATTAAATGTTTAAATCAGTTATCTTTGATATGAATGGATCCCCCATTCAGTCAAGTTCAAAGCCCTCTCCACTCCTCCCCGTTCTCCCGGCAGTCTGACGTCTTTACGCACGCTCTACAGTCAGAGTATGACTGGCACTGACGTCAGAACGCACCGGTCCAACTCCCAGAGCTGCTGAAACATGCGTTTTCATGCGGATCAGAAAAACCTTTCACCCAACTATATAGTGACATTTCAGAAAAAAATCTTAAATGGCTAATTAAATGGAAATTGTTATTACTATTATGGGTTGTTAGTTTATTAATGTACAGGAAGTGTGATTGAGGTTGATTTAATCATTTAGCTTCTAAGTGCTTATAGAATTTATCTTTCTTTCTCAGTTTGGTATAAACAAATCTGATGAACCTCTGGGTTGATTTCAATGCAACTGACAGAAAGTAAATATTGGATGGCCATCTACGACTGCTCAGTGTTGGGAGTCGCCGCTATTCAAGGCGGCTGCCACAGCTAATCAACAATAGCAAACATTAAAGTGGCTTCAACAGATGTAAGATACTGAGCTAAAACTGAACATGTAGGAAGCTGAGAATACCAACTCAGCCAACAGATTGCATGAGGTATCTTGTGTATTGCTTTACTTTCAGGAAAACTATTTCAACTCCATAAAACAAGACGATCTCCCGCGTAAAAGGTGGTGGATGATGGTTCTAAGGAATGTAGAACCTTTTATTAAATTCAAATATGACTAACTCAGGAAGCACCAAGTGTAGAACTGTGTTCTGTAGGTCTGGTGGTTTTCTAGGAGCCGCCGGTCAGATGTGCATGGCTTGGTTCATGCAGCTTATCTTGAACGTCAGACCTTTAAGCTACCCAGCCATGCTAAATGTGCCTTTGGAAATTACATGTAAAATGTTCAGGGCCGTTAGCAACAACGTTCATTTTCAGTGTTTTTCTGATAGAAATCATGGGTCTGCTTTGACTCTTTTCTTTTTATTCAAGCACAGCTTGTAAATGCATGCAAATTCACTCATTTCATCCCTTCATGAGAACACTTTCTGTCTGAAGATTACATATGTGGACAAAAACAAATGTGCAAACAAGCAGATTTCCACCAGTGTGTACAGTGAGTGCAAACTGGAAGAGAAGATGGCAAGTTTTGTAAAATGTAAAAACAAATAAATTGTTTACTTTGAACCTTTTATTTAACATCCACGGGGACAAAGGAACTATATCTAGCTTTAGGTTCCTCTTACACTCTCAAACGAGCTGTGTGAGAGGCAATAAAAGGTCCTGAATAATTCATGCATTTATCTAAATGTTTGTATTCAATCTGCAGAATTGCACGGAGAATTGTCATATTATCCGTATTAATATTACCACATGGGAGTTAGGTTATTTTGACAAACCGCCGACACTCAACACACTCTGCTACTTCATTCTTAAACGTAACCTGAAACTGTGGTACGCAAGCAGGAAGCCATATATCAACTCCTCACTGAGACACAGCTGAGCCTCCTGGGTTCAATCTCATCTCAGGAAAAAAAAAACTTTGGCAAAAATATGCTTGGTTGAATGTGGCATAGAAGATTCACATCCAGGTGGATGACAGCATAAAGCACAAAAGCAAACATTTGTGGGTGCAACTGCATCCTAGGAGCATTTGTGAAGGTTGCACTGATGCAGAGTATGGAGATGTTGTCTTTCCTTATGAGGTCCATCCTTATTTCACTGAACAACTTCCAGCAGCTGAGGGTCAGAGAGTTTGTGTTTTATCGACAAGCCTGCCTGCATCCTAGATCTGCTTCTCATTGGCAATGTGTGCTGCATCATAAAAACAAGAACCACACACTGCTGAGCAGCTGAAGTCATCTTCAACTGGTCCCCAGAACTGCTGCGATAAGCATCCTCTCTTCTCACATGATTAGGAATATCACACTGAGGGAGCACATTACTACTTCTCCATCAGTGTGTTTCTGGAATTTCATTCAGGATTTCTTTGCCAATAAAATACGATAAAGATCCTCATGAGCAATTTCCTTTAGTACTTGTGTTTGTCAAATAAAGGTTGAAGCCATTCATGTCAGATTTAATCTATGATCATTGTTGGATAGAAAAAGATGGAATGAAAGTAAATGAACCCAAAAAAGCAAAATGTTGTGGCTCTTTAAGCACTTGGGGTCTTAAATGCCTCTCCGCTATGATCACACCAAATTTAAGCTTAACTGAATCAGCTACAGCAGCCACCTTTAATCTGGTTGACTCTAAAAGTGGACGTGGCGTCTGAACATCCAGTGGTTCCTTTCTGACAGTTTACTTAAAGTATAGATGCACCAGTTTGGTGTTGAATGGTGGTTGAACTGCTATGGATGCTTTAAAATGGTAAAATGGTAAATGGCCTGTATTTGATATAGTGCCTTCTAGAGTCCTGGAACCCCCCAAGGCACTTTACAACACAATCAGTCATTCACCCATTCACACACATTCACACGCTGGTGGGGATGAGCTACAATGTAGCCACAGCTGCCCTGGGGCACACTGACAGAGGTGAGGCTGCCGAGCACTGGCGCCACCGGTCCCTCTGACCACCACCAGCAGGCAATGTGGGTTAAGTGTCTTGCCCAAGGACACAACGACAGCGACAGACTGAGCGGGTCTCGAACCTGCGACCTTCCGATTGCGAGGTGAGCACTTAACTCCTGTGCCACCGTCGTAGACTGCTGATATAGAGTTAGCCTTAAAGAACCAGCAGAATACATTTCTGTTTTTTATATTTCAAATTATGTTTAAAAAAATATTGATTTTGAAATAGAAAAGAGTCACATCTATCTTCTTGTAATAATAATGCATTTACAGATCCCCTCCCGTCCAAAAATAAAAAAATATATATATTAAATCTGTTTTTGAGTTTTAGATTAGCAAATTGCACTACATAGTGACCGGTTCTTATCTACAGGTGTTTTCATTGTGCAGCTGTAATCAGATCCAGCCTGGAGACGGTTTGCTTACAGATAAGCTAAGATACTTAGGTAACTGTAAATGAGCAGTGAATAAACATCAGCTGCTAGTTCTAGCTCAGTAACTGCTAATACTAGTTTTGATGTTACTAATGCTGATTAGCAGTGGCGGTCATTATGAACTGGATTCAATCAAATAAGTTATAGAGTCATTTTTTACTTTTAGAGAGCTTCAATAAAATTGGTTTGATGGTTCATGGAGCATTTTGCATACGTACAGACGAGCCCATGTGTGCACACACATTTGTTGTATCTTAGAAAACATCCAAACTGTTCTGGAACTGAGGTTTAAGTTTGATCCAGCTCACTTTGAAATGCAAGACCCATTCCCACTTAAAGCGTTTTGTAACTCTACATCTAAAAAACTTAAGTATTATTTAGATTAACAGACCGGATGAAGACTTAACTGTTTTGTTTCTTTACTCCTGCTTTGCAGCTCGGCACTTTCAGGTCTCCAGATGGGGAGTATTTCATGGAGCCCCTACACAGCTATCAAGGGCAATACTACGAGGAAGAACACACAAAACCTCACATCGTCTACAGGAAACGTGATTCCAAGAATCAGACGTCTGCAGAAACCTCAGCTTGTGACACTTCAGGTGTGGTGAAGTTCTAGGATCAGCAATTATTACACACACACACACACACACACACACACACACACACACACACACACACACACACACACACACACACACACACACACACACACACACACACGCACACACGCACACGCACACGCACACACACACGAGTCAGTTTTTCTATACATATTAGGACTTTGTATTGACTTTCATTCATTTTAGTAACTGCATTTATGCGTAACTCTAACCCTAACAAGTGTATTGCTAAACCTAACTGTAACAAAAACTCATTTCACATCTTACCTCTCTAAGCCTCACCCCTAAGTCTAAAACAGGAGCTCCACCATATTAGGACTGGGTTTTGGTCCTAATATGGCCATCGGTCTTCAGAAGATCAGTGAATATGCCAGTTTTGGCAAGATAGATAAACAAGTGCACACACACACACACACACACACACACACACACACACACACACACACACACACACACACACACACACACACACACACACGCACGCACGCACGCACGCACGCACGCACACACACACACACACACACACACACACACACACAGGTTTGTGCCTATCCCAGAGCTCGACACACATCAGCTGACCTACATATCTCCTCCAGTCACAGACACCCCCAACCTTTGATGATGAAACACTACTTCTGCCTCAGAGCAGGGACCTCCTAGTGGCTGTGATATTTGAATGTGCTTGGAAGTGTTTTATAGGAAGTGTGTGGTTTGAGGGAACAGCATTTTCCGTGTGTGTTTGTGTGTATGTGTGTAAATGCATGCAACCTTTACACCGGTTCCCACAGACATAATCAGGTGCAATCACCGACCCAGTCTCTCCTATCAGATTATGCAACAGAAACCAGCTTATCGAGCTTTACTGTAATTATTTTTGAGTGTGTAATGTGTGCTAGACTTATTCTAACCTGAAAAGAAATGAGTAACACATTTCTTATAGATAAAATAATTTATATAATTAAGAGTTGGCTACAGGCCAGAGTGTGACAACAGAACTGAAGTGAAAGCAGAAATATCTGCACACTGTGGTGAGGAAGCTCTCCAGCTCTCACAGAGAAGAAAAAAAGACCCTTAGAAGTTCACCCTTGTATCTCCCCATCTCAGTTTACTGGCTGAACTTCCTGTTGACTCTTGTACTTCCTCTGTGTCTTTGATAAGGAGCTGGAGTGGACCCACTACGATGAGCGTGTTGTGTAAACCGTATAATAGCAAAGTAATGCCAACTTAAAACAGTCAAATAATCAAAACCAAGTCAAATAAATGTTGGAGAATTTTTCCTTTTGTCTGCTGGAGATCTCTGAGCAGATGTTCAGTGTGACTGTGCGTCTAAATGTTTATGTGTGTGTTTTCCTTTTGATGCCACGGCACAGCGTGTGTGAGGATGTGTGAAAGCACGGCCTCAGGGAACACACAAAAACGCTCTTTGTACTAAAATGTTTAAAACTTCTTAGAAAATCCTGATTGTTTTCCAAAGCTCTCGTAGAACAAATAGCATCAGAGAAGAGGAAAATGAAATATGCACATTAATTTAAAAAATCCTTTTCTAACTAAATTGTTTAGGGATTTATTTTTTCAGTTTTGTAAAACTAACATTACTGCAGAAATCTTAACAAACAGAAGATTAATTCAGGTTGTTCCAACTTCTGCTCCCACAGACGTCAGAGACAGAATTATGAACACAATTATTTTGTTTGGCCAAATGAGCCTAGTTTTTACTTCTGTGTTTTACTCTTATGTTTTGAAAGGTACCAGTTAGGATGTCTAATTCCAGGGTCATAAGACACACACACACACACACACACACACACACACACACACACACACACACACACACACACACACACACACACACACACACACACATAGGCACACTAATTGTTAGATAGGTTTCCTATATTACACAGCTTCAACTAGAAGTGGAACCTTTCGGAAGTTGCCTGAACATGTTTTTTTTCTCTTCTTATTTTGTTTTACTGTTACCTGGATCTAATTGCACGCAAAGCAAAAAGAAACTGAAACTTGATGGAATGTTTAATATTGTAAATATCCTAAAATAAAACAGAAAAGTTGCCACATCCATGTACAAAAATATTTCCTCAAAAACAGATTTCCTCATACACAAATCAACTAGTTAGTGTGTGCATAAATTCAATAAAGTGAATTATGCAACAGCAGGAGCACCTAGGGCCAAATCCCAATACTTGTGCTGCGCTTCAGCAAAGTACACTTGGAGTAAGTGTGCAGTAAGGCTTCCTGTGTGTAGTACACAAGTGTGCAAAGGGACAGTGACCATTGCGTCATCAATTATGAATGATGCCGAGATGCCGGTTACTGTTTGTGCTACTTAAATAAAAAAATCTTTATTAACAACTTTTAAACAAACAATGGACTAAATGTACTGTTCACTCTAAATCTTAGTCTAAAACTCTCAGACTAAATATTATTGATTGTCTTAAAATGAACTTCTTAGGTCTGAAAATGCATATTTTGAGAAAAGGCACTTGAGCCATTGGTTCAATCTCAATACTCGCACTGTGCTCTGCGGTCTTCAGCAAAGTGCACTCAGAGAAAGTGCACTGTAGGGTTCGAGTGCGTAGTACACACGTGTGCAAATAATTGCTGAATTGAGACAGGGAGCATTGCGTCATCGATTGCAAAGCATGCCATGATGCTGGTCGTTGTGATAATTTTTCAAAAAACTTTATTAACAACTTTTAATACAAACAACAAAGCAATTATTTGAAATTAATGTAACTTAATTGCCGCTTTGTCTAAAACATTCAGAGCATCAACTAATCGTCCTAAAATTAACTAATTTCATTAGAAAATACAGATTTTCAGAAAAGAACTTGAGCCATTTCTCCCACAGCAATGACTTGTGGGTAATACCTTTGTCCAAAGTCCGCATCGCTGCAGACTTGGATGAAGTGCAGATTAAGGGTGCAATGGGGGCACGGTCAACTTCCGCACTTGAGAATTGGGACACCCTACACACTCGCACCTCTGGCCGGGAACGCGCAATTGAAGGCCGCATGGGTGCAAGTGTGAGTATTGGGATTGGGCCATTGTTAAACCTTCTTCTCAAAATGTCCACTCAACAATGGATTGTGGGTATTACCCTTCACCCAAGTCCGCATCTATGCAAACGTGTGGAAAGTGTGGAACAAGGGTGCAAAAAGGGCATGGTCAACTTCTGCCCTTGAAAATTGGGACACCCTACGCACTTGCACCCCTGGAATTGAAGAGTGCAAGGGTGGAAGTACGAGTATTGAGATTGGGCCTAAGGCTCGTCCTGTCTACCCTGACATATGGCCCTCAGATACACTGATCTAGCTCTCCAAGCTGTCAAAACAAAACAGGTTAAGAACAAAAATAAATAAATAAATAAATTGTAACAGTGGTGTCCTGATCTTTGAAATTCACGCTCCTGTTCCATTTGGATGTTCCTTTGCTCCAACACACCTGATTTGAAGCAGGTTGATTAACGGGTTTCTGCAGAACTCACGTCACATGGAGGAGGTAATTCAACTGTTAAATCAAGTGTTAAAGCAGGAACACACTCTTTGCCCATTCTCTGTTTCCTGCTTTCAAAGTGAAGAGAAAAAAGAGAGTGAGAGAAAAGATACTTCAGTCAGCATCCATCTGTCAACACTATCTCTGAGCAGCGATAAACAAAACAGAGAAAGAGGCAACAACATGTTCCTCCGTGCATCCAACAGCACGCACCTCCGTGGTTCAAATCATAACCACTCTGGATGTAACCACAACAGTGGTTTTGCTGAGTTGAGTAGATTTATGTCCTTTCATCTGTGTGTACTTATGCTCCGTTCCCTCTGGCTTCTCACTTTAGGACACAAGAGATTCAACCCCAAGGGGGACAGCGCCATCTCCCACCCAGCCCCTGCACTCAGCAGCAGTGTATCTACTGATCTGGACTCTCTGAATGCCAGCCTGACCCGTAATGCTCCGCTCAGATCAGAGCACGCCACTGCCAGCACCAGACTGTCAAATGATAGCAGTGGTGACTCAGGACCTCACAGGAGATCAAAGCGCTTCCTGTCCTACCCTCGCTTTGTTGAAGTCATGCTGGTTGCCGACAGCAAAATGGTGGAACATCACGGCAGCAACCTGCAGCACTACATACTCACCCTGATGTCTATTGTAAGTTTGGCTGGGGGGAAGGAAGCTCTTCAGGTTCGTTGTTTGTGCTGAAGGGTCGCTCATGAGCCCACAAAGGTGGGCTGCGGTGGTGAAGAAAGCAGTTCAGGGCAGGGGTAAATGCATCTAGGGACGGGGTAAGAGAGAACGACTTAAAGGAAAGTGTCAGAAAGCTTTGAATGTAAAAAAAAATTGCTCAGGTATGTTGCAAAGACCACTTTCTCTTCAAACCAACACATTCTCACACCCTAGGCGTCGGAAACAAACGCTTGGTCAGCCACCCTCCACGTCAGACCCCAGACGCCAAAAGTGCCCTTTTTCATTACTTATGTGCGAAAAGGGTTTTTTCCCTTTTGTAACTGCAGATCCCAATGCAGCGTAAAACTGACGTGATTAGATATCCGCTGATGCGGCACCGAACCAGCTCGTTTAACTGCACCTAAACCTTAACGTTTCACTATTTATAACCTTCCCCTCACCCTCATCCTAACCTTAACCCTCTTGCTACCTAAAACGTTACTCTCACTGTGATCAAGTGTTTGTTTCCCGTGCATTCAGACTCTGACAGTCAGTCTGACTGTCAATTTTCGTATTTGCCGCCCAAGGGGAACGTTAGAACTTACCATCTGGCGAGGGGGAGGTTACACATACCCTCTACTTTTAACCTCCACCGTGGTAGTTGAAACCTCCCCCTCGCGCTGGCTCGGTCCAAACTCGACCAATCACGAGGCAGCTCCCGCCGTTCACTTCATAGAGCCGGCTTTTAGAGCGATCGACACATCACTAACGTGTTCGCTAGCAAGATGGTTAAGGTTAGGATAGGGGTGAGGGGAAGGTTAAATAAGAGGATAAGGTTAAGGTGAGGTACAATGAGCTTGTTTGGTGCCCTGGCTGCGAGCATCCCATCACGTCAGTGTAACGCTGCATTGGGATCTGCAGTCAAATAAGGGAAAAACCCCTTTTCGCACATAAGTAACGAAAAAGGGCACTTTTGGCGTCAGGGTTCTGACGTGGAGGGTGGCTGACCAAGCGTTTGTTTTTGACGCGCTGGGAATGAGAATGTGTTGATCATACACTAGCTTCTAGTTTCTGTGGTCTTCATTCTTCTCAGGAGGCCAGTCATTGTCAGACAATCCCAGTATTTATGACTCACTTCTGTCTTCATCCAGGTCTCGTCTATCTACAAGGACCCCAGCATAGGCAACCTGATTAACATTGTGATCGTTAAGTTAGTGATTATTAACGAGGAGCTGGTGAGTCCTGTTTCATTTGCTCTGATTCCACCATTTTGTTCCTCTTTGTCTGTGATGACACTTTTTGTTCATTTTTGCACGCTCCTCAGGATGGTCCAGTCATTTCATTCAATGCACAGACCACTTTAAAGAACTTCTGCATCTGGCAGCAGAGTCAGAACGTCCTGGATGATAACCATCACTCCCACCATGACACGGCCATCCTTATCACCAGGTGCAGGGAAATCATCTTCAGACGTGCTTTTACATCTCTTGAAGGGATACTTAGCAAATTTTTGAATGATTTTTAATCATTTCCTTGAGCCAGTATGTGCTAAAACGATCCTTTACAGGGTTAATAAATTGGAACTCAGACCCCCAACTGTCCTCTTTGGCCAGAATACAGCACTTGCAACTTCAGAGTGCCGGTCCAGTTTGTTGGACTTAGAAAAAATGGAACTGACATACCTCTCACTGCAGTCTGCTTCCAAGTGCAAGTTTTCTGCGTGCTTAGATCATGAACACAGCTGATGTGTTTAATGTAGTGATGAATCACTCCTGTAGACACTAATGAAGGCCGGGAGACATTTCAGCTGTTAAAAAGACGAATGCACAATGAGGAGACGTTTTGCTTTTAATTCTACTAAACGGACACTAGGGGGTGCTAAAAGCAAGCCAAAACTGCCTAGTGTCCCTTTAAGGATGAAGCAATTCCATAAGAACACGTGTATAAAAATGTGATCTCCATCCCCATCCACAGGCAGGACATCTGCAGAGCGAGGGATAAGTGTGACACCTTAGGTGAGTGGATTGTTTTGAACCAGCTGACCAACAATCACAGTGAACGTGGTGTCATTTAAGAAAACGGATGCTTGTGATCTTTAGGACTTGCAGAGTTGGGAACGGTGTGTGATCCCTACAGAAGCTGCAGCATCAGCGAGGACAACGGTCTCAGCACTGCCTTCACCATCGCGCACGAGCTCGGCCACGTGTGAGTAATTCGGGGCTCGCTGTTTACATCTGATGGCTCCAAACACGGCATGGCTTTAGTTTGTAGATCTTTGAAATTCTTTCTTTGGATTCACACGGGGGAACCAAAGAACGGAAAAGAGTCAGGTGACACGACACACATGGATTCAGTTTGGTTTTCTCTTTTTTGGGATGTTTTTGTATGCGTTCTGACTCTGTTTCCCCCAAACAGAGGTCTGTGTTTTATTTTGAGGCAGAAAAGAGACTGTAAATAACATTTTTCTTCACTCCTTGCTTGTTCTTCAGAATTGATCAAATTTGTCTTTGACCAAAGCCCTGAATCTCTCTGAGCTAGTGGATGCTGCTAGTATTCTAATCAAATCTGGAGAAGTTCATTATTGAAGAAGTTAAACGTAAGAGTCCCTTTTTTGTCATCTGCAGCGGATAGCTAGTACAAGCTATCTGTTAGCTCTAGTGACTTCACCACACAGCAGAAGCTCCTCCTGTGTTGTTTGCGGAGATAAAACATTGTTGCAATTAAGTGGTAGAGTTGAGTTGCCGTTATCCAATCTGAGGCAACATGTCCAAATATCAGGCAATAAGACTCCAAACCCTACAACCTGAGGCTCAGCTGTGATGTGGGAAACTTTTAGGTCCTGGAAATGGTGCACCAGTATATTTATTCCCCCTGAAAACAACTTACAAGACATTCATTTCTGCTAGAGACCACCGCAAATGTACTGATTAAGCAAGTGTTCCACTCCTGTAATGTTATGTTGATTGGAATAAATAAACACATTTATACATTTGTAATTGCCACAATCTAATTTTTGCGGCATATTTGGACATTCAACTTGGTCATTTTGGCCTACTTTTGGAATGTTTGGACATCAGTGGTGTGAGACTAGCAGTTTTGTGGCAGGCAGTGTAGTTCTGTAGCTGTCTACCATTATGTTTGCATTTCTTCTACTTGCATTATCTTAATCTGTATAATTTGTACTTCTAACCATTCTTCTTTATGTTAAAGCTCTAATTTCCAATCTTCTAATGAGCATGAAATGCAGATGCCAAAAGAAGATTCCCTTAAATCTCAGAGACACTGCGAATAAAAACTTTTAGATCAAAAACAAAAGTGAAAAATATTATCCTTATGTTAATTTTTGCATAAGCTGAAAAATATCTAGCTAAATGAATTCACATTCAAAACATAGCTGGAAAAACAACCATCACCGTTTGTCCCTTTGACATTTTATGTGTCATAGCTACCTTGATTTGAACATTTTAATGAACTCCGTTTCCAATAATGGTCGTTTTCTTCTGCTTAGACTAGTCAGGCAGATTAATGGCAGCTCTTCTATCTATTCTAATTATTGTAAAGTACTTTACTGACGACGTTTTATACTGCAA